AGCATTAATGAACTTGTCATAGATTCAACATACAAAACAAACCAGGAGAAATTTGAGCTCTTTGCTGTATTGATCAAACAGCATAATGCTTTACAATAGCAAGATCAGGTTTAATCATTTCACATACATTGAGTTCACTCCTACACAGCTAGATCTTATCAAATTTTTCTTTCATGGCACAGCAATTTTTCGTAAGTGAAATCAAAAAGGAGTGGATATCATCATTCCAGTTGCCATGGTTTGAGATGATGAAACTCCAATCACAGAGAAGAACATGACATTCATTGGTATCCAAGTCAGGAATCGTGAAGCTGATGGTTCAACTGGTGACAAAGATCAGCAAGAAGGGAGCACGCAATTGTTGAAATGACAGAAGATGGATAATATATTCAAACAAACAGCCAGCTATATTGGCATTGATGACTGCAAACCCTTCCCTCTACCTTACCTTGGGATTTACATGAGTCTTCTGAAGGTATTGAATACAATAGCACTTTAGACATTAGAGTGACAACACGAACAGATGTCAAGGACAGAATGGGACATTTGAGCATTTATGGACTCTCAAAAAATGTGTACAATGGTGCAGATGGTGATGTAATAGAATCACTGTTGCACAAGTTGTTGATATCTTATGTTGACCCCATTGAAAAAGAAAATGGCATTCTGTGGGATGGACATAAAGCAAGTAATGAATGGGTCCAAAAGTGCAAGGTGATTGTAAAGAATATGGAACCTTTATGGTATAATCAAGGTATGTCAGTGCATGTGTTTGTTTTTTTGTCACATCTACTAATCTCTTGTTGTGTTAAAAAGGCAAGAAAGAAAAATGTAAAAGGGCATAGACAGTACAATAAGAATGGAGCAATAGTCATTGTATCTAATTTCTCTCTGCCAGAAAACTGTTGTCAGACTGTGCAATAATAATAAAATCAGTAAAGTTCATTTGGTACACACTTGTGATTGCAAATTCTTAAAACAGTATAAATGCACAGGGAAGTGAAGAAAAGTATGTAGAATATGAAAAATTGAATTTGAAATAATTATTAATAAAATTATATATAGGAATACCCATATATGAAAAATAGTGAATATAGTGGTTCAGCTGAATATGAAAAGGTAATACGTTTCTTGGAGTTAGGTTGCAATTGTGGTTGCACAAAAAAGATTCTGAGAGAAAAGTTTGCTGAATTACATGAAGCATTTCAAGCTCTCTCTAGATCTGAACAAGACATATTTTTAATGGCCCAACTGAAAGTGACAAATGGTGGAGAAATATCTGCCAGTCAAAGTCTTAAAAAGAAAACGCGTAATAAAAGAACTTTTTATTATTGAGATCGCGATACATGCAGTGCAAATTTAGAATTCAGGATTTTTCTGTGATATCAGATGTATGACATGGTGATAGGTTACGGTCTAAATTTAACAATAATGCTTTATTTTATCTAACATCTGGATTACTAAGCTTAGAAAGCAGAATATGAACGGCTTCACTAAGACACCCCAAAAAATACATAACAATGGATTTGCCAATTTGATTAAAATTGAATCCCATATTTATAATGTATATGATTGGTACGTCTAAAACACTGCATACAGTATAATATAACTCTATATGCTATATTCCATTAAATCATATATACTCATAGCACTGGTCATATAATAATAAAATGGTCACTATTCAGGATTTACGCGGTTCTAAATGCACTGATATTGAATGGACCGAATATTGCTGGATGCCACAAGTTCGTACTAACAAAACTCCTAGAAAGTGGAAACAACGAATTTGGTCTCGTTTAGAATATTTCAGAGAAAATAATCTTCTACCTATCGAGAGTAAAAAAAATTTTAATGCAAGAAAATTGATACGCCTTCAAGATGGTACATCATACGCTCCTACGATAGGAATTGCCATCTGTTTATCTTGAAAAGAGTTAGTATACACCGGAAAAAACATTAAAACTATGAAGAATCATTGGAAATCTGCATGTACTGGTAATAAATATTGCAAACTAAATAAAGTATGAAGATTTTTTGAAAATTAAACATAAACCCGAATCTGATCGTACATTCGACTATATGCGTGCATTGCATTATTACGAGTTATGGATGTCAAATGCTATCAGAAGACTTAAACGAGCAATGGAGGTCGGCGCCGCACAACAGAAAAAGGTGCGAGCATGTGTCCTCATTCAACGTAAATGGATTGAATTCATGTATCCCAATAGTTTAATTGTAAAGCAGCTGGCTGAGCATTACAAACTGTTATGGACTGCTCGTGAAGAAATTCGACAAGCTAACAATGTATATTAGCGATGTTTTCGGTTAGGATAACTCTCGTGTATACTTGCATTCCCGGCCGTACGGCATCGAAAGTCATAAAATTTATTACTATTTTTTACACGAAAGTATCACGTGATGTTATGAAGAAAAGATTGCAATTACAAGGGGTAGAAAAAATCCCTTGCATCTATGAAGTAAGCGCTACTCATCCAATTTAAACGGTGTGTCCCATCCAAGCCTCACCGCGAGGGGTTTAGTCAAATCAAATACTATGAGACTCCGATCCTGCAAATGCTTATCAATAATCTCAGATACTTTTTTTGGATTAAAGGCCCAAAGTTTGTAAACGAAATTTTAATGTCAATGTGGCGCAATTTCAAATTAATTCTAATCCGTAATTTTGATATTCTTATTTTAAAAACACTCTCAGTTGATGTAGTTGATGAGACTCGTTAAATAGACGTTAGTATCCAATATGATCAACGATATTTGAAATTTATTCAAACGATAATACCTCTAAGTGCACGTCGTCAGGATGCGCTTGCATTTATGGAATTTATGGAAAGCGTACGCCAATCATTTTGTTTCACGTGACATTTTTCGCATAATACAGTTGACTGTATGGAAATGTGAGGTATGAAGGTTTGCGTATAAATTAATCCTTCATATTGAAAATGATTTTGTTCGAGCACTTGGATTTACCATGCCTTTCATGAACAGCATTTCAAAGGACAATATTAATGAACTTATTATTGATTCCACATTCAAAACAAATCAGGAAAAATTTGAATTGTTTGCCTTAATAATTAATTGTGGAGGATTCGGAATGCCGCTTGCTTATTTGTATCTTGATACGTTCACTGCATCTGAAAATCTACAAAATCCTATAAATAACATTAATAACTTAAGGTCTTCTTCCAACGATTAGAGCAGAACAAATTTTCTTTCATTCTTCTTGACAAGGACATGGACAAATTGCGGCAGTACAGGAGGCTTGGTCTCGGACAACAAACATTTAATTATGTCTCTGGCATATTGAACGTGCTATTGATCATAAAATAAACGAAAAAAAAAATTACAATACTCAATTCAGCATGCAAGGGAGGCAAATGAACAATTCACCTTTATTGATCCGAACTGGATTCCTACAGGAAGACGAAGTCCCCTATGTTCTGAAGCAGATGCAAAGGCAGTTATGGACTTGATAAAACATTCAGTACTTCATCCGCTAATACCAGTAGATATAAATGTATTTACGAAATACGTCTGAAGGTCTATCAATATTGTCGACAGAGAAATCTTGTTCACTTATGGCGTATCTGTGGATGTAATAAGAAAAATTGAAAGCTTTTCGCTCGATCATCCTATCCAAGAGCCATGCCTATAGCAAGAACGACAATGATAGTTGAATCCCATTGGCGGGTTCTTAAACACAATTACAAATGGGTCCGTATTATTTCATCGACAATCATTTCACCGACAGTGCATTTCACCGACAATCAACTACTAAAAAAGGATAACTTCGAAATAATGTTGGTGAATATTTGTCGGTGAAATGATTGTCGGCGAAATGATTGTCGATGAAATGATTGCCTCCCATTACAAATATAATTATAAAAGATATCTCGTCTCGATCATTTAAATCATATTATAACAGGACGCCTGATCCCAGACATGTTAAACACTTGGCAATTATACAAAAACAATCGATCATATTCATCTTGGTGCGAATTTCTCATTCCAATATGTTAACAATTTCATCAACTGTGAGCGAGTTCAGCAAAGCTATTCCCGTGATCATGCTCGTGCGGAAGGCAAAGGTTTATATCGTGTACAAGCAAAGCAAATTAATACGTATAGAAAGCCTTCAAAACCGATTGGAGAGAATGCCTTGAAAAGGATACCGAACGCCTAGAAAGCTATCATGTGGATGTCGATAAATGGATTTGTTCTTGTCCAGCTCTTATAAATAGCCCATATTTTGTGTGTAAACATATGATACAAACATACGCTGCCAGCAATCCAGGTACTCCTCAATATAAGACCACCATCCGTCAGCACGATTACCCATTTATTTACTTTGGAGAAGACGATTCTCCGAGAATTCATTCAATTAATACTCCGTGGAATCATATTACAACAAAGTCCTTAAAATGGGCCAGAAACTATACCTGAAGTATCCGAGAGAGTGAATAGTGGAGTTGATACCATAAAAGGTAGAAAAGCTGTGTTAGCAACCGACAAAAGGATTTTTGAATTGTTAAATTTGATTCTTGAACAAAATATTAAGAATCATAATTTGTTCGACGAATATATAATAATAAGGCTTGGGCAGAATTTGATTGACGAAACTCTAGCATGTAGTGAAGCTTTGAACGCTAGAATGCAACAGTCAACTTGGCAGTCTCCCAGAAATCGGAAGTTAGCCTTCTGGTTAAGATGAGTCTTTTATACATGCCACGTTTAACTCGTTAGAAAATTTTAATAAATATTAAGTTTATTATATTATTATTATTATATTGATTGGTATAGTGTATTAAAAATTCGCAGGAATCAAAAATCTTGCACGTGGCTTGTGTGGCTTACAGCACGCAAGTCGCGTCGCCAGAGTCGTCGGTATACTGTCACGTCTCCGTTATAATAAAAAGGAAAAGATATAACTCGCAAACCGAAAGTCACGTCTCCCTTTACACAGTGTTTATACAACAATGGCTTCTACCTCGACTTTTGTTATTGCAAAAGAAAACAAGTTAATCAACAAGGTCAAAAAGCTTAATACGGAAAAACTTATCGAATTTTTGTCTGAAGAAATACAGCTAGACGAGTGTGACTTGGATATTATCCGCGAGAAAAAGGTCTCTGGTCGTGCCTTTATTAAGTTGACTGAAGATAAGCTTGAAGAATGGGGAATTGCAGATGGATCAGTTTTAGCAATTGCGGATTTCGTTGAGGAACTCAGAGGTGAAGAGTGTGGTAAGTACCTTCCATTCTATATTCTTTTACAATCAACGAAAATGCTATTTCTCTTGGAAAGCAACTTAACATTTATTCCATTATTCAGAATTTTCTAAGCAGAGAAAAGTTGAGGACAAAGATATAATCACACCTTTGGCTACAAGAGTTAAGTATATTTTTCATATTTCTGGGCTTACAATATCCTACGCCTGTATGGACCCACCCATTTTATGGACCCCTGCAGCCGATGCTTGGAAAGAGGGCCTCGCACACCTGCTAGGACCCATTACAGTTTCTGTAATCCTCTTAGTTAGTTTCGTGTGACATACTCTGTTCCAGTATATTGGACTATATGGATTCCTACGCCTGTATGGACCCACCCATTTTATGGACCCCTGCAGCCGATGCTTGGATAGAGGGCCTCGCATACCTGCTAGGACCCATTACAGTTTCTGTAATCCTCTTAGTTAGTTTCATGTGACATACTCTATTCCAGAAATCCATTTTGTCAATGCCTATCCTATTACTGTTTTCTTGTGATTATTTTTTACATCATCATATTTCATAGAGACTAAACTAAACTGCCTTTTCCTATAGATGAACATTCTAAGCGCGCTTACTTCTTATTTTGATGAAACATATGTTGATAACTGGTCTCACATTGATTGTCTCGAGTATTTAGCAAAAGTCTGTCCACATCTAACGTCAGAAGACCGTATTGAAATTCTTGAAAGTTACAAGGCTAAATTACGTTCAATAAGTTCAAGTCAATCAATGCTCCAAAAATCAAGAATGAAAGCCTTCAAGCTTGTTGAAGCAGCAGATCGCTCATTTAAACGTAATGAAGTTACTTTGTTTTTTGAAGAATTAGACACAAAGGTATGTTAATTGGTTGTTATTAATTTGTGCATATATATGAAGACTAATTTATTTAATAGGTTGACACGAATGCCACAAATAATCTCGCGAATGCAACAAATAATCTTGCGAATGCAAAAGGAAATTTGCTACAGTCGAAATTGAAGGTCCATGCATATAACAATATTATCAATCCCGAATCTGGTGAAGATCTAATGACAAGTAGGAAAAGGAAACATGAAGAGGAAGAAAATGGTCTAAAAACACCGCCACTTAGATCTCCTCTGAATGAAGATGCCCTTAGTACTCTGAATAAGCGTCAGATGTCTGATGAGAAAGTTATTCAGTAAGTTCATGTTCACAGCATGCTTCTGATTTTATTTTATTACATGTTAGATATCTGAATTCCATGGAGCAGTCATTGAAGTACAATCAAGTTACCGTTCAGACGCCTTCTTTGTGGACGGAATCTCTAAAGTCTTATATCAACAATGTTTTGGAGGTGTGTTTTCTGGAGATATTAGTTAGCATTATATTGGAAGGTAACAGTAACTTTGCTACTTATTTACAGAAACCAGGAGATGAGTTTAAGATGGAGATTATGCGAAAAATCGAGGGTGATGAAGGCAACAAATTTCGCCTTTACTGCGAGAAAATTTTAATGGACTTGTGAGTTCTTTATGTCATTTATTGCATAATTAGATGCCTAGTATAAGTAATCTGCTTTTTGATTCCAGCTATAATCTAGTAGATGTATTTCCAAATCTATCGAGAAAAATAGGCGAAAGAAAATATATCATACAAAATATTTCTTCGCTATTTAAATTTTATGAATCCACGTTTGGAGATTTTCATTTCGACTGGATCGAGACACATTGGCCAGCATCAAAATTAACAAAATCACGTACTTACTCTGGCATTGTCAAAGTAGATGCAAGAGGTGAGCAATAATAATAAATGCTTATTTATAATTCCACTTTATCAACCTCATCATTCAACAGCGGTTCCTTAATTATTCCAACCAATCCTGGAAGGCGTTCGAGTCTTTGATGATAAAGAGATTTTCCACATAAAAGCATCGGATCTGCCGTCGTTGTCGTCATCACAACATCGGCATGCTGTCAACGATGCAACAAAATCTATACATACTGACATCTTGAACCTTATTGCAATCCTACTTGACCACCTTCGAGTTCCCGTAGAAAATGCAACTGAAATTAAAGTTTTTAGTTTGCAAGCGATTGGTAAATATTTTGTATTTATTTATTTAAAAAAGGCATTTAAGTTAATAATTTTGTATTTTAATTAATTATTAGAATACCGTGTATCATTATATTCTCTCAATATGTTAAAAGATGGGACTTTTTTGACTTCTGAATTATATTCTACCTTGTTACCATTTTCACTTGATGCCATATCAAAGTATAAGGGAATCCTTTATATGATGGCAATTTTTCATGTAAGTAGGATTATGCAATCATAATGTTTATTGATTATAGGCACTCACAGACTTTGTGGTTTCCAGGAAGAAGTCACGAAGCAAATGTCAATTATGAAAAAAATTGACTTAATCGATCATAATGAAGAAAGTACAGTTCGGGATGTGTTAAAAATCCCAAAAGCTTTGAAAGATCTTCTACTTGAGTATGAATTTGAACAAAAACACCCTCAACTTTAATAAGGAGACGACATGATTTATTTTATTGAAATTATAATTGCCGAGACTTTTTCGTGAAGATTTTGTGTTACCCCAATATGCCACCCTTATAGTTGTAGCCTGTTCGAAGTAAATACTAGTGTTCATCGTTTATAATACGCGTTATTTGCTCCTGTTCAGCGATTAATTCCCGGAACAAGATTTAGAGTGATAGGAATATCGTAAAAATGACTAATCCGCTCGCCATTCCTGAAATGATTGAGAGGGTTTTCGACCATCTTGAAGATTATGATCTTTGCTCATGTTATAAAGTGGTATTAGCATAATGAAGCAACCCGGATTTTTTTGAATTGCGAGGAAGAATATTGTGAATATGAAATTCGGTCAAAGTCTTATGTGACCAACCAAAATCTCGATTACATCTTTTCGGACCTTTATGGGAATGTTTTTTCAGACCTACCTCAGACAATATATCAACGAGGTCGAACATGAATTGGACCAACTTAATTCATTGGGATCGCGAATTCCCCTCTTCTCTATATGAAAAGTTTGAAGTAAATCATACAAGATATTCTAAAAGATCTTAAC